AACTGAACTATGAGTATTATTGAATTTCTTAACAGAATTTAAGGTTAAACAAGGAGGCCATTCAAAATGTGATAATGCCAATTTCTTAATTTTTTTAAAGATAATTCTTTTAAAAGAACACCAAACCAAAGAATCTCTTGATAAGATGGAAAATTTCCAAATACTCTTTTCAGGGTTATGGGCTTTTTACCTTCTTCAAAACAAATGATCTGTATAAAATTAAAATTCATTTTTTCATGATGGTGCAAAAAACAGCCAAAGAATTCTAAGCAGAGTACTTTCAGATATACCATCAGTAACCATGTAGGGCTTGGACAAAATTAGGCCCTATATAGTCTTTAAAAAGGTTGGCTGTTAAACCACATCCCCAACAAGTGCATTGGGATAATTTGTTTTTTAAATCAGAAATAAAGGGGGTAAAGGAAGGAAGGCCCTGAAAGGGAATTCCAGAATAACATAAAAAATAATAGAGAGGAATAAGGAAATAAAGCTTGCTATAAAAATGTCTTAAGCATATCAGGGAAAAAATAAGAAAAGAACAGTCAGGAAAACAAATCACATCTTCCTAACTATAAAAAAAAAAAAAAGGAGGGGGTGAGGGTAATACCCCACACACACCCCCCAGTATGACATAGGTGACCCTCATGTGTTCAAAGATTAATGTAAGTCTTTGATTTCTCTTTTGTCATCTTGTTCCTCCCTTCCCAGTGTTTTCATCATCATTATTTATACTTCATTTAGAGATTAAATAAATTCAAATTAATTTATCTGGTTATAAATTCTCATTCATAACCAAGTTTATAAAGAAGTTGTTGATTAACCATGCCTTTTGCTTCTTTTTTTCCTGATATCTGTAACTACAAACATTAGTTAACACTTCAAAATAACTGAACTGAGTAGGAAAAAAAAAAAATCCATTCTTCTACTTCAGAGAAGTCCTGGTAAAAGATGAGAAAGCAGTGGAGCAGAGTGGAAAGGATATTGAATGGAAAGGATATTGACTTTAGTTAAAAGATCTGTCACTGTAAATTTTGTCAGTGACCTTTAGCAAGTCACTTAATCTTTCTACACCTTACAACCTAAAGTGTACTGGAGGGGATGAAGGTTTCCAGCTCTAGCAACCTTCAGTTTAATTGCTATTACCATGGATAGTCTGGTTTAATTATATTATGTTTGCAAAGAGCTGTAACTTTTAAGCTATCAAAACAGGGTCAATTCAATGAAAAACATATTGAATAATTTTTAAAAATCCATCTCAATAGCATTTAACCTTAGATTATTAGCAACAAACATTTGCTTGCCTATGAAAACCATTTTTAAAAAATTTTCAGAGATGTATATACTTTTAACTTAGTCCTCTATTTTAAAGTCTTTGTGTTGACCTAGGTATTTTACATTTTAACTCCTTCTTTGAAATTGTTAAATTATTGTTTATTTTGTACATAGATACAGCATGAGAAGGAGGATTCAGAGTAAATTAGATAGGCACATTCAAACTTGTCAAACAAGTAATACCACCCAGTTTCCATAAGCCATTCAGTTTAAAAAACAGTGGCGCAAAAGTACGAATTCAAATTATAACCCAGATTTGCAACCAACTCTGACAAATATCCTTTCTACAGAATATAGTTTTCTAAGGAGAAGAGTTCTTAAAATCTAGCATATTATTAACAATATAGTCAGTGTGGGCAAATAAATTTTAAAATAATCTTCCGTACACCAGGGCCTGTATAATAATATTAAATGGTAGAGAAAGGGACAGTACTATTGTGCCTGTAAAAAATATGAAAAACAGTATGCTTTTCAATTAAACAGCTAAATGAACATTTTCAACTAATTATTATCTACTGTTTACAGATACGCAATAAGAAACTTAAAGCATTACATGTATACAGTTTTTCTACAGATGTTCATCTTACATTCTAAAACATTTTCAAGGAGGGAAACAAAACAATTAGAAGCAAGGAATGAGCAGAACTAAATTATCAGTGGCAATATTTACATGCTACTTTACAAAGTGGAACAATTAAACGGAAGGGAAGATATGAGAACAGATAACTCAACTTTTCTGAAACACTAGGCACCCTCTGCTCTTGTTATTTAATTAAGAACTAAAATGGCCACATTACACAACTCAGCGTGATTTAACAATGACGTCATTTACTGAAAGCCACTGGAATGAATAAATAGGAACTGAAAAGGTCTGAAGGCTGTCTTAGTCTTTTCAGATCAATCAAGGCACCTAAGTTTTAAAGACCTTTTCTACTTAAACTAAAATAATTTAAACAGCACTAACATCACCCTAAGAAACAAGTATAATATTTGATAAAGATGGCAAGTGATACAGAAACATCTGACATTGGATTGGATAACGAATACTATTTTAAAATAGAAAATTCTCTTGTATGACCTCTTGCACAAGAATGATTATTCTAAACACATTTAAATCATCTAAACCTTATCACTAATGTTCAAATGCACTAGTCTAAAATACAACTTTTTAACAAATTAGGTCTCAGCAATCTGACCCCAAGTCTAAAGACACTGTTGGCAAACCAACTCTAGTATCACATTCAACTTAACTTCTAAGAGAAGACATTTTCCTGACCCCGATAAAACCGAACAGATGTGAAATTTTTATTTTTAGTGCCTGAAATTTGCTTCTCGAGTGAATTATAGCCATCAAGGAAATATGTTCTATTCTCCTGCCAAAGCCCTGCCCGGCACTCTTTATTAGGCAGAACTCCCACGAAGTCACCTAAACTCAGTCTTTCAAAGTCGGCCCCCACTCAACCTGGGTAAGAGTTTTCAGGGTTTAGCAGTTACTGAGAAAGAAAAAAACCTGAAGCTTTAAACTGAAAACAAAACAAAAAACAAAAAAAACAATGATCTATTAAAGTGTGACTACAAAATGAGGGGAAAGGGTGTTGATAAAAGAAAGAAAGAAAAAGCTTCTGATTAACTTTAAAAACAAAAAGNTCAAGAGTTTGAGCTCTGAGCAACAGCGGTTCGAGTCCAGCCCGAGCTGAGCAGCCGCTGAGCTGCCAACAGGTAGCAGGATGGCTCAGCTAAAAAATAAAATAAAATAAAATAGGAGCAACAAAAGAATACTGTAAAAG